TGGAACGAGAATGTGTAATCATTTTGAAATTACTTATTTTTAAAGTAACGCAACTTCCGAGAACTTGGCGCTGAACTGATTCTAACTTCAACACTCGAATTTAACATTCATCTCAAGACCGCACCTTGATTCTTAGTTGTGCTCTTTCCCAAATGCTACATACGAATAACTGAGGGGCCACATTGGGTATCATTTAGGCTCGTTACAAGAAAGACTGCATATTGGCCGTTCATCTACTGCAATGTCAACCGTCACATTACGTTCAGTCGAAAGATGCGCCCAAAGGACTTTTCAGTGATGAAAAAGGAACTGAGCAGGTGTGTCTGTTGAGAGAATAATCGCTCATTCGTTTATCAGTCGAACCCTCGAAGGAAACTATTCGAAATGACGAAAAAGTTTGAGTCGATTGCTTTGAACAAAATGTGGTCTCCTTCAAGACTTTACCGTTGAGACCCTTTTATGCCTATCTCACAGTCACACATTTGTGTTTATGAAACATTAAGCAGCTAATTGAGTTTCGTCGAAACGTTGAAAACTTATGTCTCAGTTCCAAGAATGAACCACATTGTTCAGCATGGGAAATCCACCTCAACTATGCTTTGCTTTTGTTGAAGAACAGCGATACAGTTCATGTAAGCAGTAGTATGATGACGTTTCCACCGATGCCCGTCTATGTGGAAGAAGCTGAACAAGACTCTGAGACACAACCCGAAGATCCCACACCACTGACGGCCGCTGATTCTTCGATATCTGGACGAAGTGAGACGGTAAGGGTTTGAACTCGGAATCTTTTCTTGAGCGTTCACTATTCATATTGTCTGTTTGTTTCGTCTTCTTTTCATTCAATACTTTCAGTTTGATAGTGTTGTTTGCAAATGATATGTAATCCTAGAGTTAATCGTTTTTCAGGAGACCTTAACCGCACTGAAGACGTCAGCAAGTTTCACTTCAGAATTCGTGCACAAGATCGATGCTGACGAAGATTATTCGTAAGTGTCGCATTTGATCAGCAAATAATTTCATTCCGCTTACCAAAAATTAGCCAAAATCATGCAAAATTGCTCTCAATTTCATAATTTTCTCGTTTTCAAATATAAATTATGTAACCCTAATTGATTCATTTGTGTGTTTTATTCAGCAAATCGCTTTCTGATTTTGATATCTTCATGTTTTTATTGTTGAATGAATTGAATTGAATAAGTTTGATTGCATCCAATCAAACAGTGCAAATTTCAGTTGTGTTGAGTTGCGACGATGTAAGAATTGTGATGAGATCGTGACGGCAATGTCACGTTCCACTCAAACCGCTACTCCTCAACCACCACGACCAAAAATGGTCGACGACTTTCCCAGAATTCATTTCAGTCTTGACGAACGGATCGGCGAGCAAATTGTTTGATTGCTCTGTGACCAATTTTCGATTTGTGCTTGTTTCACACCAATTCATTTTCGTAATATCCTATCGAATATCGGTTATGATGAATTGCTCCGCTGTTCATAGTTGTGTACATTTTGGACTTGCGCTGTCATTCGCAGTTTTCTAGAAGATAATCTGTGCTCTTTGGAAGTTTTTCTGAGCGATTCTGTCGGTAACTTTTGACTTTTTTGGTCCAGTTCCTCGGCTGAGTTAATCTTTCGAATGAGAGTTCTCATTCGAGCGAAAACGCTCAGCATTGAGAGAACATTTCATGAAATATTCAGTTTCATATCTTTATTACGGTTTCACTCTTTAATCCTCCGTTTGGTGAATGATTGATTGATCACATGTGTGATATTTGTGATAAAATCGATTCCTTCACCTATTAATACTGTTCAGTGCTGCGGGCTTTATTGGAGCATTGTGATAATCTCGTTTCAATGATGTGTGTAATTCTTTCTTCATTCTACTTTCTTCTAACTTATTTAAATTAATGTTCGAAAATGGACTTTTGTTTCGGAATAAACAAATTCAAATGACCAAATTATTTTATTCAATCATAATTTCTGTACAATTGACAATGAAAGCTTTCAACATGATACACTCGAAAAAATTACATGGAGATCGAAGGAATTCTCAAAACGTAATTTGTTATTATACCAATGCAAAAATTTAAAAAGAAAGCATTACATAACAAAAACAAATTCAAGCATGTTATCTCAGTTACTATTTATTATATGATGAGCAATTGTTCCTATTATCTATCGGTTACGCTTCAAGCGATATTGGATTGGATTCATTTCCTATGAAATAATTGAAAAATAGCAATTTTTCTCCAAAAACTCGATGACAAATAAATGAATGCGTTTGAAGTGCTCAAGTGACCTGCGCACTCGTCAGCTCTCAATCCTCTGCCCCAAATTAATCAATCAATCCTCTAAGAAATTCAGCTCAGACGGAGTATCTTTATCAGTGCCTGTTGTCGTGGTAGTTGCTGTGGTTGTAGTCGTGGTCGTGCGTTCACGTTTATGTTTCGGTGTCAGCGCTGTCGTATCCTCGTCTGAATCGCTACGTGATCCGTCATCACGTCTTGTCGGTCGTTTCTTCGACAGGGTTCGTCTCTCGGCTGGTTTCAACAGTGCGGCACGTCCTCGCTGACAGATCGCCAACAACTGATCACGTCGTTCTCGCACGCGATTCACGTAGAATTCACGTAGAATCGACAGGCGCGGTATGCCAGCCAATTGTAACACGTGCATCATTGGTGACTTAAAACAATTCCAGTTTGAGCGCGAAAATGCGCTAGTGCCATGTTATAATCATTAGATGTTATATTATAATCATTATTTATATTATACCATGTTATGTTATATTATACCATGTTATAATCATTATAATCATGCCATCTTATAATCGCTAGATCATTAGAAAGTAGCAAACAAATAAATGAATGAAGACGATTTGGTGTCGACTGTTCAAGAAGAACGTAAAGACTATGAAGATGATGCGGTGCTTAGATGAATCTGAACACTTGTTTATGAGCTTTATCCTTCTATATACACTAATCGGTACAGCTCATTTAAGCTGAAAGTTTCACGCTGAAACTTTCTTGAACAAAACTTTTCGCTCGCCATGAAAAATTGAAATAATTGAATAGGAAAGAAATTTTACGGAATATATTCGGCAAGCACTAACCG